AGTGGCTTCTTGGATATTGACCATTGTAGAAAAAAAGCTGTTTTTCATTTTTCAATTTTGATGGCAACATTCAGAAGACCAAACACATTTGAATTTGAAAATAAAAAATACCTGTTGTTTTGCTTTGCCAACAGCAAGATGATCGAATTTCAAAACTAAATTCTTTGTCTATTTAAAATACTACATTTACTAGAAAATATATTTAAATATTAAGTTTAAATACAGAAGGGGTCATAAAAATGATTCAAAGAACCTGCTTATACACTTTTTCTGTTATCCAGGGATTGTTGTCAGACAGAAAGGAAAATTTAGTCCCAGACACAAATGTCCATATCAGTTTCATTCAAATTGCATATGAATGTGTATTTCTGTGTGTACATGTATATTTTAATTCAATGGCAGACCTAAAAATATTCCTACAAAATTTTTTAAAAATCTTTATTTATTATCAATTAATTTCCCAAAAGTTCAATAAAATCTTGTAATTATCTGATTTTTTAGAGTAAAAAGAAAATCAATATTTTTTTTCTTCAAATTTATTTTATTACTTGGTAGGAGTTGCCCAAATTGAATAGAAGGGGAATGCTATAATCCAGTGTCTTATTCCAAACTCAGTCAAAATGTTTGATTTCATTGATTTGTTTTTTATGGCTTATCAACCTTTGCAGGTTATTTTAAAGTCAGAAAATATTTTTAGATTGTAAGAATTTTTTTTTGCAATAATAACAAATTACTGATACAAGTCTTATTAATTAACCATTAATTAGTCTTAGTAATTAATCCATGACTGTGTGGTGAGAATTATAGATTCATAACTTTTTCCAGTATTAGCACTTATATGAATATAACAAACCTAATTTGAATTGGAACTCAGATTCCAATTTCAAATTCCAAGCCATTATTCATTACACCAACTGCACACCCAGGCTTACAGCACCTGATATTTCTAAGCAGTCACTCATTTAGTTACTGACATGTTTGATGTTGCTTAACTTTGGTCTGAGAACTGGTATTTCAATGTGATATGCCTGTAAGCCCTCATTCAAATTGTGTGTGTATGTTTATTTATTGAATGGCAGAAACAAAGGTAAGTCCCTTCTGTAAAACATATACATACACGTATATATATTTATTTACATATGCACATGAAAAATTTCTTGCAGACTATGTGGGATAGATAAGCTCTTCTTATTGCCCCCTCATTTTTGCTTTGCAAAATGAGATATATTCACTACTTGAAATCTTTGAAACAAAAATTTTAAGTGAACATTTCATTCATAAATTGGCTTGTTATAGTTAAGAAAAGGTTTACAAATAGATGGCAACTTGTTGAAGGTCAAGTAAAATGCAAATTTCAAACACTTTTCTGCACTATATAAGATGATATTCTATTTTTGATATGAAAATCAAAACAATCCTTGAATAAAAGAACACTAATGAAGGACAGTTAATTAATGAGAAACTTTTTTTAAAATCAATATGCAAATTAGTTAAACCTAAAGAATGATATTGTCTAGAAGTAGATAATATATAATACAGATATTTAACTTTTAGTGCATGAATTAATATAAAGTAGAGCTGGAATTCGTGGGAGAATTGAGCTCCAATTTCGCATTATCTAAGACAATATTCTTGAACAGAATCATTTTTGATATGAAAATCAAAACAATCGTTGAATAAAAAAACAGTGATGAAGGACATTTAATTTATGAAATAAACTTTTTAAAATCAGTATGCAAATTAGTTAAACCTGAAGAGTGATATTGTCTAGAAGTAGATAATATATAATACAGATATTAGCTTTTAGTGGGTAAGTAGTTTGTAACATGTTAATTTATCATCTCTCAGTTGCGTCTTTTTCTTTAGGCAGAGTGTACTCAGGGGTAGCTCTGTCAAAGCACAGAGTTATAATTGAGGAAACACTTACTGAATGATGCTCAGCCCTGGGGAACTGCTGATTGTGTGGCGACAGGGAATTTTTGTTCGTAGCCCCACTGTATGCACCTGGGCTCCCCATATTAAACCAACCTTGTGTCACAACCTGACTATAAAGTAGAACTGGGGCTTTTTAATCTCAGAATTCATGGAAGAATTGAGCTCCAATTTTGCATTTATTCATATAGATTCCATAATATAGGTTTTACTTAATTAGCTATTATGTTTATTTAGGATGTCAACGAACACTCATTGCCACTTTTTCAATGTCAACAAATACTTTTTGTAGTAGAGACTTTGTAATTGCAGATATAACTATAGTAAATCCGTTGAACAATACTGGTGTCAGATGCCTTCAAATAACACTTGTACTAATAGTACTTGCTCGATAATACTCACTTGAAAAGCAACCTCTGAATAATAATCCGCCTGGTGATCCGTATAGAGAAATAGTATAGAGAATACCAGATAGTGTAGAAAAGTGATCCATATAGTAACAGAGGATAGAATAGAAAGAGTGATCAATTAGATGCCACGATAATTCCTATATCAATACATTTCCTTTGCTATCATGTGGTCTACTTATTAGAAATGGAATCACCCATGTTTGCTCACTGGTGATCTGGGTTCAGACTCCATCACCACTTTATTCCTATATAACAGTTTCTTTAACTCTTCAAATGTTGAATGTGTAACTAATTCTATTTTCCCATCTTTATACTACATTAACTTTATCTCATAATTTGTTCACTGTTTTGTCACCCATGAAATAAAAATAATTGTTTGTATAGAAAATCAAATTATCTATAAATTAAGTGACAGCAAAAGAATTATCATTGAACTTTTAAAAGGTAAGCTTAAACATTAATTCATTACTTAAATGCAGCGATCAATTTTGAGTTCTTCTATAGATTGAGTTCTTCTATCACATCTACTCCTCTCTAGCTGTTGTGATCTTGGCCAAACCAAGAGTCCTCCACAGCTAGCTGCAGTTTTGGATACAAGAGGAAAATAAGAACCTTGAACCATGAAAGCAATGATAATGGCTAGTATAATATATTAATAAATATTTTTAACCTTGCATAATCTGGCAACACTAAATCTGAGTGCAATGATAATTGTTTCCTGCACCTGACTCTTCTAGGGCTTTTGAATGAGTGATGAATCATTGAAATTGAACCAGTGGGAGCAGAGGAGTTGCTAGGACATATACATACATACACTATACTTTATATAAAACCATTATGGATATGCTCAGATCCTCAAACAGTAATAGCAATAATATTTCTGAAGCAGGCATTTATAAAATAAATTGCCAAAACTGTTCCTCCTAATATATTGGAGAAACAAGCAGAAATTTAAAAAAAAGGCATCTATAAGCATAAAAGAGACCTCACAAAAAACAACTAATGCACTAGTCATACATAGAAACAAATTCAACCACAATTTTGTTTTTAAAAATGCTACACTCATAAAAAATGAAAATAATTCACTCAGAAAGAAAATCCTTGAGAGTGCCACCATTGAATATTATCCAAATATTAATCTATGCCCAGGATTTTTTCCCAATATCACCTTTCCTAACAGAATTACTACTCTCCCAATGAATGTACACAACTGTATCAAGAAATCAAAAGAAAATGGCTGAATCCATGAACACAACAATAAAAACAATATTTCCACATGTGAAAGTACTTGACGTAATTTTCAGTTGACAATATGAATACAATAGCATTTTCTAAATCCTTCTATTTGCTAAACTTTTTGTTTATTGTTAATAGTTACTTTTTTTTAATAAATTCATTTTGATTTTGCATTGAAAAAAGTCCGCATTGAATGAAAAGCATCAGTGAATAATACAGTTTTCCTTGTGTCTTTTACATTTATACATAAGATATATTATTAATGATTAATTGTCCTTAGGGAACTCCCTTATGAAATAAGATTATCAGCCCTTAAGGAATTCTCTTGGACTACAAGGCACTCCCTGCATGTCATGAGGAAACAAACTCTGTTTAAGTCTCTTACAGTAGCCAATAAAATTAGTTCATTAAGGCTTCTTTGACGACATATAAGACTTTTAGCCTTTATATTTAATATAACAATATTATGGAGTTATGTTCGGAGGATGTACTGATAGTTTAATTATCAGGGTTAGCATGAGTCTTCCAAACAGCTAATCTTTCTATATAAAACTCAGGAGTTTTTTTGGAGACATTTTTTGGTAGGGAGAGGAGGTTTTATATGCCACCAGATTTGCTTTTTCTTCTCTTATGACTGTCTCTGTTGTTGGTGATGATTTATTTGAAGCCACCAACTGCCCAACCATGCTGTTGTTGCAGACGATTCATTTGAAGTTGTTGATATGTATTTATTTCAGCACATTCTTAGGCAGGAAGATTCTATTAGCCAGCCTGAGAGCCAACAGCTGACTGACATGAATGTTAACTAGCATGCAAAAAAAATTGATAGCTGCATTGGTATTTTATGGGAAAAATTTAAATCTGCAAGACACTTTACTCAATTGGCTCATTCTTTATGCTTAAACTCAATGTTGATTCTGATTCCACAGAACTGGGTTGGGGTGAAAAAAGTATTTGTTGTTAACATTCCTTTTTCATTCGGTTTTTCCAGTTATGAGTCCTTTTTTAAAGCTGATCGTTTTGTATTCATTTTGTTTAGTTCTTTTTTCGTAACAGATTTAATGTTTAGTATAGAGCTTAGAAAAAATTTGCAGTGTGAGATAGGCAAGAAGTAAGGCATGTAGCAACATCAGCATGGCAAAGGACACTCCTTTAAAGTCAAGGAAGGGCAAAAATATTTTAAGTCAAGTGATAGTGATTGCTGTATGAGTCGTACGATTTTTTAATCAAGTACGGGCAACGCTGGGCCATGCTGCTAGTCCTCACTAAGACCTACAACCTTCATTAGCGCAAATCAATTTTTAATCTGAGAAAGTGGTTGTAAATAGCTGACAGTTTAGATATTTCTGAATGGGTTTGGTGCCATGCATGACATCCATATGAAAGTCTTGATCTGTCAAGGCTATTTAAGAACATGTCCCAATTGCCACATTGAAACAATGGTTCCTGTATGATCTCCAAAGTTAAGCAACATCAAGTTTGGTCAGTACCTAGATGAGTGACTGCTTGGGAATACCAGATGCTGTAAGCTTGGATGTGCAGGTGGTGTAATGGATAATGGCTCAGAATTTTTAATTGGAGCGCCAAGTTTTAAACCCCATTGAGTCCATTATATTCACTTATGGACAAATTCCCCTGGGAAATGTATGAATCCACCTCTTCTCTTCCCAGCTATGGGTTAATTAGTAAGATTTGTATCATTAAACCATTATCTTCAAACAAAAAACTTCTTACGATCTAAAAATATTTTCTGCAAAGGGTTGATATGCTGTAGAAAATGACACAAACAAGCTTTTAGTTTAATATTTTGGTTTTGTAACAACTTGTAGTGTTGTGTGAAACTATCTCTAGTGCTATTACTAAGTCAGGAAACAAAAAAGAAAATAGTACTTATTAAAATATTCAAACATTGATTATTAAAAAGTAAGTTAAGATTCTATAACATTTTACTTCAGAAAAATACTTGATGGTGCCATTTAATAAAATCTTCTATGTAATGTGTCATGTTAGTGATCATGGCTCTCCACAATTTCTTGTTTTTTGTAGTTCTTAAATAAATTTTATCTTTCTGCTATCTTTCCTAAACCTTGTTCTGCTGTTCATTTACTCAAGCTCACTAGATAGTTCATATGTTGTTTTCCTCTATCTGTCTTGCCTTCAATACTTCTTGTGAGTATCAAATTTTCCAAGACCTCTTTCCTCCTTTTGTGGCCTAGTAATTTCAAATATCTCTTCTTGATGTTAAGTATAATTGTCATTTTTGCTTCTGTTTTTTCTAAAAATTTGTCGTTGCTCATATGTTTGGTGCAAGGTATTCTCAGTATCTTTCTGTAGAACCATATTTCTTTTGCTTCAAGTCTCTTCTTTATCTGTTCAGCATTCACTGCTATTTAGGAAGACTGATCTTTTCCCAAATACAGTGTACACTCTTTGAATTCACTGATGAAGCATTTTCACTGTCAATTTTTAACTAGTATTTTGTTCATCTATTTTTTATTTTTATCAGGAATTTCTCATTTTTCAACCCTTTGAACATTTGGGTTGTATTAAAAAATTAAAATAGTTTTTCTTATTGATTTTTATTTTTACTAAGCTGAAATTTTTCTAACTTAAAATTTATAATTATTTAGAAGCAACACTTGTTTGATATTGTTCAAAACTTTCACTTTTTTGTCTTTCATTATTTTTAAATGTTAATATTTACCACAATGAATCTCAGTAGGGGTTCTATGAACTCTTAAAAGGACATTACATGTTCACAGAATTTAATGGATCTATATTTTAGCATGGTGATAAGATGATTGAACCCTTTAATCCCTGAGTGGAACAAGTCACATTTTATATACACATTTGTTTATCTTTTTGCCTATATATTTACATTTTTAGATATATTTTCAACCCTTAACTTCAATTGCAAAATTTTTAAATTTAATTTTTTTTCTTTAGAAGTTTACCTAGCAACTCTATTGCAACTATAATTGAAAAGAATTTATCTAAGCTTAACATAAAATAAAACTACTTCCAAAACAATAAAAGGTTTGATTATTGAAAACAAAATAATAAGCTAATACTTGAAGGAAGAATTTACTCTATCACCTGTAATAATTGCCACAAGCAATACATCAGAGAAACCTCTAGGAATTTAAATAAAAGATTATATGAACACAAAAGAGATCTTTTACAAAAAACAACACAATACTAGCGGCTTTAATCAACTCCAAATTGGTTAAACATCTCACATCACAGACTTCTTCAGACAAGTAATATGGCTCTTGTTTCTCTAGGTCAACTGTTGAGGTTTTAATAGTTCTTACTGAAAGTGTTTTTCAAGCTTTAGATAAATATTAAAGCCTGTGCTGTTGCTTTGGATATCTCAAAAGTGTTTGGTATGCTGGTCTTCTTCACAAGATAAAAGGTTATAGTATTTCTGGATTAACTTTTGATCTGATTCAATCTCTCTTATCAATTTATAAAATGCAAGTTGCTTGAATGACCACTCTTCTAGATCTTTTGCATAAATGTAGATGTTCCTCAGGATTCTATTGTTGAACCTATGTTGTTCCTAATTTTCATCAACAACCTTCTTGATGTCATCAATTCTTGTTTTGGTATTTGTCATAGCGGAAGAAAATGAGTAACTTCTAACACAGAGATTCAAGCATGACACTCTGGACTTATGAATATATGTTTTCTGCCAGGTTCATAAATAGCAGTGTCTAATTGCAGTGATTATTGAGTGACTATTGAGTGGAACTATCCAGTTGAATTAGTGTGAATTATTGTGCGTTGATGATTTATGTTTCGATTTAGGATTTACTGGACATTAAGCTGAGTTGTGCAACTAACAAGGTATTCACTGAAATGGTTAATTATCTTTGGTTGATGTTTGCTTCTTTGTTCTTGTTAAGTATTTATTTCTGGTTGTAATTAAATACAGTTTTATTTAACATTGAAGTCTTTAGTTAATTATTAATGGTCACTGTACATCAAAAAAACATCTATACTGATAGCAGGACTATTTACTCCTGTCTTAATAGCAAGTCTGATCGGTTTGATAAGAATAAATTGGCAGCTGATCTCAAAGATGACCTACAATCTTATATACAGTCTTCTTAGGTTTAATGGCTTCAAAACAAAACTTCTCTCTTTAAATCATCTTAGAGAACATTTTGTGCCTTCTCTCAGCATGGCTGATGCTCACCTTCAGTACCTTCGTGGGCTGATGCTCACTCATTGTACCTTCTTGGGATAATGTTTTCCATTGACATGAAGTGGAAAGATTATATTGAATCAATTGCTAGGTCTGCTGCTAGGAAAGTTAGTTCACTATCTCATGCTTGACAATTTTTATCACCAGAATCTATCTTACATATTTATAAGTCTATCAGTCATCCATACTTTGAATATTACTGTCCCATTTGGTCTGGTGCTACTTCTATATATTTAGAGATCCTTGTTAAAATCAAAATATGAATATACAGTGTTATTGGTTCTGATCTGAAATCTTGGCTTCAGTCACTTTCCCACTTCTGTAATGTTGCTTTTCTGTATCTTTTCTATATTTACATGGTAATTGTTCATCCTCTTAGTTAAAAAAGTCATCGACAGCAAATATGATGTCATCATCACAGCTATACTGGTTCCCAGCCAAGTGTTTTTTTATGTTGGGGAACAGATGATAGTTAAATAAGAAGAATAGGGAGGGTGATCCAATCTGTTCAAAATCACAGACATTGAAACCAAGGACTTGTATGCTGGAGCATTTTTCTGATGAAACAAGACTCTTTTCATCAATTTTCCTGGACATTTGGTCTTGATAGATTTTTGTAATGGCCTCAGCAAGTTGGCGCAGTACTCTCCATTGATGTTGCGGGCCCTAGTCAATAAACACAATGCCTTTTGCACCTCAAAAAACGAAGCCATCACCTTCACTGTAGATGAAATGATATTGGCTTTCTTTGGAGCAGGTGAAGAGGTGTGTTTTCCACTGCAGGTATTTTCTCTTTGTCCCTGATGAACCACTCATCTGGGGTTCACAAACATTACATGAAACTGTTGGATTTACCTAAAAAAATGTCAGATTTTCCCATGATATGATCAACCTGTGCACTTTTGATCAGGTGTCAAAAGATGTGGAACCCACTAAGCAGAAACCATCATGTTGATTTCATTATGCGGAATATTGTCAACTGTCTCATGGGATATGCTAATAGCATTGGCTATTTGATTTATAGTAAGTTGCTTGTCATCCATCACCATGTGGTGAACATGATCAATGTTTTCCTTGTGCAAGATGAGCAGAACTTGTGTCATCTTCCAGAATTTCCCTTCCTCTACTATATTCAACTGCCCACTTTTGCACTGTTGATAAAGCTGAAGCGTCATTCCCTAATATAGCAACTATGTCAGCATGATTGTTCTTGGGGGCCATTTGATAACACTATGATGTCAAAATTTGATCATTTTCAATAGAAGTCAGTACTTATTACATTTGAAGTCTTCTTTGAACACTCAGTTTACCTGGAAAGAAATAATGCAATTATTAATAAGAAAAAAAGAAATTAATGCATGAAAGATTTTACAACTCTTGCATCATTATGTCATAGTTAACCTATGAATTTTTCAGCCAGCCCTCATGCATTTGGTCTGATTTTATTTATATCTCAACAAAGGTATGTTCTCAAATACCAAAGACACTATCATATCTCTCCCTGCTGTTTATTCATATATATATATATATATATATATATATATATATATATATATATATATATATATATATATAGGTTGAGCACTTTAAGGAGAAAGCGCAAATTTCTAAACAGTGACTGCTACTGCTGATAATGCAAAGCTCTTCTATGAATTAAGCACTCCAAGTCACTGGCTTGTTTATTCAAAATAAATATGTAAAAATTCACCTTCCTCTCTGCAGAGAGCCAATAGCTTAAGGGAAAAATCTCTGACTGATGCCAAATCAGTCAGGTTTTGATCCTAGATTAAGGTAGTCCGGTGTCTAGCCACACTGTGATACAGTGAAACAGGCTATCTGTGAATGACAATATATATATATATATATATATATATATATATATATATATTTGTGCACATGGTGGTGTAATGTACAGTGGCTTGGATTGAGGAATCAGATCTGAGTTTGAATTCCAGTTAAGTTCATTACATGTAAATACCCTCCCTACCTTACGGTCTTGTCAGGATATTTGATATAGTACTAATTAAGCCTGCTTATAATAATTTTAAGAAGTGCCACAAATTATAAATATCAGAAGGGGAAGAGTTAGAACCAGAAGTAAGAGAAATCATCTGGGCTTGTACTGGCTTAAATTATATTTATTAGTATGTCTACACCCTAGGACAATTGATTGAACAAATTGATTTTGTCCAGGTATGTTACTGCAGCCAACTTTTCCTTCTGACACAGCCTACAAACATTACCAATAAATCTGCAAGGCTTAACCCTCTTTAGTATAGTCCACTTTACACTGGTGCTTTTACTGCATTTCTTTTTGAA